GCAGTTCCACTCTGTCCTCTAGGGGCGCTGTGGGTCAGAATGGACTCCACAGCAGTGGGTGTGGTTGGGCTTTGCTTCTGTGAAGATTGACAGCCTTGGAGACCCTGTGGGGCAGAATCACCTCGGGCAATGGGTTTTTTTTAATGGCAAAGAGTTAGGTAGAAAGAGCAGAAGTTTGGAGCTTGTTCAAATGGAAATCTTAAAACTATCAGCGCCATTGGGAATTTGCTAAATAAATCAGGGTTCCTACAGAAGATGGACTCCTGGAAGATTACTAATGGTTATACTGAGGAAGGAGCTCTGGTGGTGTAGCGCCTAAGATGTTTATTTTACTGCTAACCAGAAAGCTGGCGGTTCAAACCCACCAGCCACTCCAAGGAAGGAAGATTGGGCAATCTACTTCGGTAAAGATTTACTGCCTTGGAAACTCAAAGGGGGTTGCTATGATTCAAAATGGACTCAATGGCAGTGAGTTTGGTTTGTGGTTTTTTGGTGGTTGTTTATACTGAGGAAAAGACTTACTGACCCGGGGCGCTGATCATGATACATTGTATAACAACAACAAAATGTCGTGTTACAAGAAATTTTGAAAGATATGAGCCCATTTGGAGTAAAGAGACAAAATTATATATACCGCAATGCAACCCTGGTTGCCCCTGGGGTGATACTGAAGGGTCAAACTGGCTACTCTAAACCTGGCTAAGACACCCTGAAACCTCAAAGATGAATTCTGCTTGCTGACTCCACGCTCTCCCCAGCCTTGTCAGAAAAACAACCCCACTTCCTGGAAACTGCAACTTTTGCAAAAAACCACGCTCTTCACCAGAGACTCCTATAAAGGGCAACAACACTTCCCCCAGACGGAGCTCTACTTTGCAACTGGCATTGTCTACGGTTGCTTCTAGAGTCGCTCCTCACGGGCTTTTCTTCAATATAGCCTGCTCTGATCTGTCGAGTCCTGGCTACTTTTTCTCGTCTTTCACTTTAACTTCTGTACTTCCTCATTTTTCTAACAGATACAATAATTATTTTATTGTTTTTGTGAGGCGTTTTAGTTTTCTACTTTTTTATTGCATTTTATTGAAATATAATGTATGTACAGTGAAAGACACAAAACTAAAGGGACATGGGTCAATGCATTTTTTTTTTTTTTGCAGTGTTCCCTCCCCTCCCCTCCCACCCCTGGCAACCAACAAAGAAAATTTCCCTCCATATATAAACCTTTCCTTGAACCTTCACAATAATGAACTAATATATATTTGTCCTTCTGTGACTGACTGATTTCTCTCAGCATAATGTCCTCCAAGTTCGTCCATGTTATGTGGTGTTTTGCAGACTACGTTATTCTTTAGTGTTGCATAGCGTTCCATTGTTTGTATGTTCTGTAGTTTGGTCATCCACTCTTCTGCTGATGGGCACACGTAGGTTGTTTCCATCTTTTGCTATTGTAAATAGTGCTGCAATGAACATGAGTGTGCACATATCTGTTCCTATCCTGGCTCTCACCTCTCTAGGATATATGTCTAGTAATGGGATTGCTGGGTCAAATAGTACAGTAATGCCTAAGGCACTTGACTGCTAACCAGAAGGCTAGCGGTTCAAACCC